TGATGATGGTGGAGATGGTGTTGGTGGAGGTGTCATCCACTTCATGTCCTCTTGACTACCTACAAGTTGTAGGAATGGAGCTGATGTTAGAAGAGAAGGTGTCATCCACTCCATGAGAGTTGTTTCTTGATCTTCACTAATGGATACTGGTAGTGGTGTCTTCAATAGATGGTTCAGCCGTTGATTCTTGAAGACAAAGCAGACGTTGATCTTCTTCTTTCCTCTCCTGAAGCCGTTTACTATTAGCAATGCTCTTGAGTCATTGGAGAGGAAATGGTGGCATGAACAGAATATCCTTCAACTTCCTTACTCTGGAGCAGGCGACAAATGTAAGTCCACAAGAGAACTTCTTCCCTACATCAATGACAACTTTATCCAAAGTGATTCCCTGGGACTTGTGGATTGTCACTGCCCATGCTAGCTTGAGTGGTAGTTGAAGGTGCGAGCATTGTTTACGTGAAGAACACCAATTACGGCATACTGGAGTGATTGGTACTGTTCCTTCATGCACAGTTGGTCCAGTGTAATGATCAAACTGTACCATCACAGCCACTGGTAGATGTGGAGGTGTAGTTTCTTTGTAACAGATAGCTTCAACTGTACCCATTGCTCCATTATCTAATCCCACTTCAACCCACAAGTTGCTAGTTTGCATCACTCTTGCTGATCTTGCTAGCATCACAACTGGTTCCAAGCCACCAGCATCATCAGGTGGAGCTTTGGCTGCAGTGTGTACTGCCTTGATGGTAGCGATAGGATGACCACACGTAACATAGCAAAATTGTGATCAACAACAGCTTCAACAGTAGGGAACAGTCTAAGAGCATTTACATATGGAGACTGGTCTTGTATTCTTGTTGGTGTTTGCTCCATAAGGTGGTTCCAGTCTTCCATTGTTGTATCTCCGTTCCTGAGACGCATTAGAATGTCCCAAAATCTGATCTGATCAGGATCTTGTCCAGATTGCCTCATTACTTGGGTCAGAGTAAATGCTGTCTCAAACTGACTGTATGCTCTATACCCCTGGTCTGATAGAGCGGATCGTGCAACAGTATTATAAATTGGAAGGTCCATTACTGGTGGCAACTGTCCAAATACTCCAAAAAATGAAATAGAGCACCCGCCAAATACAACTTGTGACTTTCCAGGAAATGGTTGCCTCAGTCTACGGTCAATCATACCAAAGGTCTTCCTCCCAACAATTGACATCTCATCAATGATGAGGTATTTGGTAGATGACATTTCATCTTGCATCTTTTGAAGATTGCTTCCTTCCATTTCCTTAAATTCACCTCTTACTGATAAGTGCAGGAGACTGTGCCGTGTCCTTCCTTCAATGATAAAAGATGCCACTCTTGTTGGTGCTGCTACTCTGACACTACCACCTAACAACAACCTCAAGCAGTTGATAAGGCAGGATTTACCAATACCAGCTGTACCATAGATGATGTGGAGTGGTTCT